CGGCATGGACTAGTCGGATCTGTGTTGTATGACCCTATGCTGCTGAGCAATAGTGGGGTTTGGTGAGCACCATATTAGCATCAATTAGCAGAAAGATCCCACAGTCTTTCTCAGGTTCCTCCTGTTACTTCAACACCATTCATGGACCGTGGATGCCATTTTTTCTTCTGATGTTCAGCACTTTACATTCATTCATATTAAATTGTGTCCTTCACTGTTCTGTCAATTTGTGCATCTTGTCCAAGTTACTCTATATATTATGGGTTGCCCTTTTTGATTTGACTACTCTTATAAATTTGGTATCCTCTGCAGATGTTACCACTTTGCACTGATTATTGAAATCCAAACCACAGGGGCTGTTGTGGTGCAGTGGTAGAGTCTATACATCTGAGCCAGGAGGCCACCGTTCGAGTCCCACCTGCTCCTGAAGTGTGTAATAGCATCTCTAAAAAGGTTGGTCAGAAAATATCTAAACCCAAATCATTAGGGGTTTTATGTGGCATGGGGGTAGTATCCCTACCCTTAGCCCTGAAGGACTAGGTTCAGGTCTTACCTGCTCCAGATTGTCATAACATGCCTGAACAAGTTGATTAAAAATATTGAAATCTAAGTCACTGAGCCCTAAGACTTCTGCACTACTTCCCCTAACTCTGACTTAAATTGTCAATTAAAAATTCATTGTTCCTTACTCCACAGTCATATTCTTGCCATTCCCAATGTTTAACCTGAATCTCCGATGCTTTGTTTAACTTTTATCCTCTTACTTGGAACTTCACTGAAAGTCTTTTGGAAGTCGAGACCTAGGGTTATCTGGACTCCACTGGAGCCTTTGCCAAGGATGATCAGGGGTTTGTCAGGATTGGAATTATTGGTCCAACAGAATTGTAAGTCCATGGGTATGTCATGAATTTGAGGCTCTCTGTTTTACAAATTAAAAATAAGCATTTTGTCTATGTACTGCCTCTCACTGTCATTGACATGCAATGTTGCACCAATGCTAATATCTAGAAGTCAGAGGACAGTCCAATTCGTTTGAGAAAAATAATAATCCTAAGGATAAAACTAGCAATAGCTATCAGAGTTAATTTCAGAGCATTCAGAAGATATATTGTTATGAAGTCTCTCTCTGAGAAAGTTCAATTAGCAAACACATTTAGATTAACAATTACATGGTCCATGAATCTCTCAGAATGGCCATCTCTGACTTCAATATTCAGATATAACAAAACATTTAGGTCTGTCATCAATAAAGGAACCATGTAAGAGATTCGTATGTTTTCTTTCTTTTGTCTTCACATATACACGGGCTGCCAGAGAGCATTATATTCAAAGGCTTTGCATTATAACTGGTGTGATCGTGGCCAAATCTTTCTTTGTGAGTTCTTTTAAACTGTGAAGTGTATTGCTGAAGTTAAAATTAAATGATAAATAAATAATATTGACAGTTAAGTACCTGCCAGAGACAACCTCTGGGGGCTACTGAGAACATAGCCTGTAAACAGAATGTAATAGGAAGCAGCTTCTCTCCTCTAAAGAAAGCTTGTCTCTTTATGGAACATAGGAACAGGAGTAGACCATTCAGTCCTGCCTGTTCAGCCTGTTCACCATTCAATGAGATCATGGCTGCTTTGTGGCCTAACTCCACATACCTGCCTTTGACCTATATCCTTTAGCATCTTTGCTGCACAAAATAAATCTTAGATTTAAAATTAACAACTGACCCTCCATCCACTGCAGTTTGTGGAAGAGCGTTCCAAACACCTACCACCCTTTGTGTGTCAAAGTGCTTCCTAACATCTCTCCTGAATGATCTGGTGCCAATTCTCAGACTATACCCCAAGTTCCAGAATCTCCAACAATTGGAAATAGTTTCTCTCTATCGGTCCTGTCTTTTCCAGTTAATAACCTGAAAACTTCAATCAGATCACCCCTTAACCTTCTAAATTCAGAATTTCCATGCTGGCATTTCTGTAGTAACCAAGGGAAATGCAGGAGACAATGCTTTTCATAGTCCTTTACATATATATTTTATACATATATATATATACTACATATATATATATTCAGATTCTTAGAGCTTCAGTACATTATTGTTAGCACATTAACTCTGAATTCCAATTAATTATTTCTAAATAATGCAGTTTTAATTTTTAACCCTTTCTTTGTTCACTTTGGTGGATATCAATGTTTTCTAATCAACTTGTTCAGAGGTGTTTGTACATACATCTGGGACTTGAACCCAGGGCTCCTGCCTCAGAGTAAGAGCACGACCTGGACGTGCATGCTTTAATGCCCTTTTGGCTTTCTCCCTTTCTGATTCTGATCCCTTGACAGAAGATAATATCTTAAATCAAGACATCCAATTGGGTGATCGATCTGACTCTAGCTATTGTGGTCATTTCTTGATGTCAATCGGGGTTGTCTCTAAGTACATGCCAGCTATGGAAGCAATAATATAGCTGCAGCTTGAAAGACAAGGAGAAAGCAGGCCATTGTCCAGCTCAACTGCTGTAGGCAGGGTGCATGCTGGCTGGACATTATGTCCTGGGATGTTTCGTGTGCCTGAATCTGCTTAGTCATTGGAATTGTCTTATTTAAAAAAAGCAATGGGAGTCCCTGCGAAAATGGTCCTTGGTCAGAATTCTCCTTCCTGTAATCCATGTTCCTGCCGTCTGATTTTGACCTTACATGTTAGTCCACTTCAGCTGGTTACATTTTAACATAAGTATAAATACAGGTCACATTTTAAAAGAAAGACAAAGGTCCTATAGCAAGATAGAAAGACACACAATATCAAAAATACCTTCCTGGGAGTTGCTGTGGGAGTCCACAATATTAATCCCAGATCCCACGAAATCTCATGTCAAACATTGGTATAACCTGACATTTAAAAGCACAGGCAGCCCAAAGTTCATGAAGCAAAAATTCTTTATTTCACTGGTGTCAGGCTACTAGAAATATGAAGAAAAAAATAATTTTAAACAAGGAAGATGCAATCACCTTCCCTCCATTACATGGTCAGAAGTCAGGATGTCTGCTGATGATTGTATAATGTTCAGCACCATTAGTGGCTTCTCAGAAACTGAACCAGCCCACATTCAAATGTAGAGGTAGTAAAAACTGCAGCTGCTGGAGTCAGAGATAACACAGTGTGGAGCTGAAGGAACACAGCAGGCCAGGCAGCATCAGAGGAGCAGGAAAGTTGACGTTTCGGGTCGGGACCCTTTTCCCGCTAATAAAGCAAGTAATGTCTCTGTCATGTAAGTACCATAAAATGACCATCAAAAACACAGAATCTAATTTCAGAGAGAACCTAACTTAATATTCAATAGCATTGCCATCACTGAATCTACCATGATAAACATCCTGATAGTTATCATTGACTAAACTGGAGCAACCACATAAATGTTGTGCCTAGAATAGCAGGTTAGGGCCAGGATTTTCTTATGGTGGGTAAGTCTCCTTATGTCTCCCAAGTCCAAAACAGTCATGGAATACTATCCACTAGCCTGAATGAGCAGCTCTGACAAAACCTCACATCATCCGGGACAAAGCATCCCTTTAATTAATAATTACCACTACCAACATTTACTCCTTCTACCACTACAAGGTACACTGCAGCAACTCACACAGGTTCCTTGGACCGCATCTTTCAAACCGACCGATAAGTACTTATGCATCAGATGCATTGGAACAACACCATTTGCAAGGTTCTCGCAAAGTCATACACCATCCGGTCTTGGAGCTATATTGCTGTTCCTCACTGTTGTCAGTCAAAATCCTGGAACTTGTTCCCTAACAATTCTGTGGGTATTCTTACACCCCCATTGGTTCAAGGAGGCAGCACACCAACAGCCTCTCTAGGGATGGGAAGTAAATGGCCTAATCAGTACTGTCAACATCGCCTGAATTTAACAAATAGGTAAAATGCTACTGATAAACTAGCTGTTTGACAAAAAAAAAAATGGAGCCTTAAAGTAAAACTATAACAATTAAAAGTGTAGAAATCACAGAATCCCTGCTGTGTGGAGGTAGGCCATTTGGCCCATCAAGTCCATGCTGACCCTCTGAAGAGCATCCTACCCAGACCGACACCACCACCCCCCCCAATCCCTGCAATTCCCATGGCTAATCCACCAAGGCTGCACATTCCTGGTTACTACAGAGCAATAGAGCCCGGCTGATCCACCTAACCCGCACATCTTTGGACTGTGGGAAGAAATTGGAGCACCCAGAGGAAATCCACGCAGGCATAGGGAGAATGTGCAAACTCCACACAGTCGTCCAAGACTGGAATCAAACCCAGGTTTTTGGCACTGTGAGGTAGCAGTGCTAACTACTGAGCCACCATGGGGTTAACTTTTTTGGAAAAAAAAGGATCAGTACTGAGGGAGTGCCACACTGTCAGAGGGCCAGTGAAGAGGAAGCACCATAATGTTGGAAAATCTGTCAATCCAGCTTTTCTTGTTTTCTATTCCTGATTTAACAGTCAAATTAGTGTTTTACATTAACAACTTCATTCAAACTGAGCATTAATAATTCAACTAATTAGTTGAAGAGATACAAGTTACTTGCCCTGTTTACACATGCTTCATGCTGATAGCCCATGTACACTGACATAAGAGTCAAGTCTAAGGAATTCTTGCTCACTGCTTTATCTGCTTTGACATGGCTGTGTAATGCTGTCATGTTACTACACTGATCTTCAGCCCAGACCATGCACTTAAGGCTCAAGAACAGGGCTTGATCAAATAATATTGCAAGCGGCAACAGTGCTGCAGCAAAAACTGATGTCAAGTAAAATGAGTGCAGGAGAAGAGTGTGCCTATTTTGATATTTTAAAAATTATTTAATTTAGATTAAAAAATATACACGTGCACACAAACATTTCAATGTCCCACAACATGAATTGCACATTATATGTCTTGCTAAGAGTGCAGAAGTTACTTTCTCCACAACCAGCTGGCATTCTCGAGATGTATTAAAATAAGTCTGAAGTGCACATTCCATTAACCTTTATTATTGAACACAAAAAGTATATACAATTTTACAACTTGCTATTATGACAACTACAAAAATACCTTGTCTTTTTTGTTTGGAACATTAAAACACAAATGTTGAACTCTGTCATGGCTTTTTTTTCTGTTTCTGAGACAAAAGGACAGGGAAGTAAAGTCCCACTCTCCAAAATCTAAGACATTCATTTTGTTTGAACAAGGTTTTGCTTTCTGAAAAACTACATGCTGTTGAAGGAATAACAAGCCTGATTTCAAAGTGTGAATGTACCTATTTGTAACACAAGCCAGATCAATAGAACAGGGCATTGCAGGGATGGAAGGCTCCGTATTATCTGCCTGTTAGTGAGGTAACTGCACAAAACAAGAAAGATGCCAAAAATAAAGTACAGCACTTTTCCCTTTTCACCACTTTTCTGTATCGGACTCTTGTGAGTAGGACCTTTATTATCTTGCTGCATTGCATTCATATTGTCTGTATATTTCACTATTAACTAGCTCCTCAACACGGACATGCTTTCGTGTAGCTCTTTTTACCTTCCCGTCCCTCTTTTGTCCCATGTACTTAGTATATCTCATAGCATAGCTGAAGTAACACCCTGTCTGCTTTTCCTACTATTAAAGGCAAAATAGTCTAAACTTCACCAATTTGCTGTATCAGAAAGCAAGGATGCTTCGAAGCAAGAGCAGAAAATGTTGGAACTAACCAGTGGGGTGCAACAGAATCTCTGCCAAATTGGCTTCCGTATCCACATTTGCTGTCTGATGTGTTCAGAATTTGAGATTTTCATTTTTTATTTCATATTGCCATGCAGTATTTCACTTTTAAATCAGTGCTGAAGCTCACCAGATAGCTTTAAAAAATGCTAGACTAATTGTTAAATGTTTTTGACTTATTTTAAGTAAGAAACTGCAGGACATTTCATGAATTTCCTACTTTGTACAGCTATCCCTAATGTGCAAAGAAATCAAGGCAAGGGAGAGTAAATCAACACTCTACCTGTGACATTTTGTTGACACCATTTGTTGTCAGATCCTGAGTCTCTGGCAAGGTTAAATCAAATACTTCACAAGTACATTTGCTTTTCTCACTAATGTATTTAAATATAACAATAGAAGTTACATGCTACTCCATCCTTTAAACAATCCTTGAAACTTCCTTCTTTGGCCAAGTTTTTGCGCATATATCCTAATATCGTCTTATGTGGCAGGATGTCAATTATTTTTTAGGACTCCTATGAAACACCTTTGAACATTTGAATGTGTTGAAGGGTGATATATAAATGCAAGTTGATACTTCATATGCCATTCTAGGTAGAGGAAAAACTACAGATAGATTCAATGAACAATTCCACCTACACAACCTGGTCAGCACTTCAACGGCAACAGTAATGTTAAGAATGAAATATGACCAAGCTGGGAAATCATACAGTGAAAGGGGATTTAAAGTGATGTCAAGTTGAAAGATTGATAAAAGCATAAGGAAACTAGGTTCGAGATTTATAAATACAAATACTGTAATTTGTTCATTTCTTTTATCCCAGAAACTATTCCTAATTTATTTTCAATTAACACTGGCAGCAGTTTAGTTCTTTGTAAGATTGAAACCAAATCTTTCATCTGCCATTGTCGCCTATTGTCAGACAAAAATAATCACAAGAATAAAGGCAAGTTTCCCACAAAAGGCACTTCCTTTGTGACGAACACTGCTGGTGTCAAGATAGAAATCCAAGCTTCATGTTCTTCTTTCTGTGCTGACTAGCCTCATGCGGGTTTCTGATAATGACACAGCCATACTGGACAAATCAGTTCAGCATCCTTTTTGCTTTGTTGCAAATTAACAAAGACAAATTTAAAAAGTAACAATGAAGTTCATCATAATGGCAATCATGCCAATTTTTAAAAAAATAAATACTACATAAATTTCAGCAAACCATTCTGGATAGCATTGGAGAAAGAAGAAATATTCCTGAGGCTCACACCAGTTATCAACTTCAAGTCCAAATAAAATTTTACTGTAGCGTAACTTTATTAGTGCAGGTGAGTAATTTGCAATTAGAGTTACTACCTTAAAACAGGAAGCAAATAGTCAGAAGACTTAACAGATTCTAACACACAAGTTGAAACTAAGAAAGCTGATTGTTGTTCATAGAAAGAAAATATGGTGGATGGGGGCAAAGAGAAAGAGATCCAACAGCAGTGTTCAAAATTATGAAGGGTTTTGATAGTAACAAATTCCATTGGCAAGAGGGTTGATAACCAGAGGACCAGAAGGTAATTCACAAAAGAATCAGAAGGGAACTACAAAGAGATTTCTTTTGCAGCTAGTTGCCAAGATCTGGCATTCTTTGTCTGAAAGGATGAAGACAAACTTAGTGGGTCATTTTCAAATTAAGATGTTAGAAAATAACAAAGTTTCTACAACATTCCAATATTAGTAACAGAACAGAGTGGTCAAGTGAAACTGAGGAGTATGACCTAACTTCAAAGATAGTTATCTCTGTTGGGGAAAAATGCCAATACATGTTCAAGCAGTTAAAGATCAGTGAAAGTTAGAGAAGGGCTAAAATTTGACAGGTCATTTCCACCCAAATCAGGTCACCAGGAAGCAGCCAGGCACCATGGTAGATACTCCGCTTCAAACAAGAGAGTTAAAAAAAACAATATACTTTGCTGTCTTTTTCGGGTGTGGTGAGACAATTTAGACTCGATTATTTAATTTGTTCACCATCCTTCACATTATTATTTAATTTAGAAGAGTCAAAGGGATATCGTGTTAAGAAAAAATATTTGTACAACTTTTGCTATTACTACTATTACATTCTGTTTCAAAATATTTGACAGTATCAATGCAAAGCATAAATAATGCAAACTCCAGTGTTCTCTCAGCATTTGTCATCTTTGCAATATTTAACAAGGCTACAAGGTCACAACATTGTGTTTTAAGCACGGCTGCGTCTTTTCCTGGCCAGGTTATTGCAGATTTCGTGAGCAACTTTTTAAACAGAAGATCAGAGAAAAATTGCTACACAAAGGTCTCACTTTACAACTTGATGGAAAAGGAACTCCCACAAGAACATCCATGTTCTGCCTGTGGATTGTTGATCACTTGAAATGAGCTTCGGATTAGTTCCTCACTGTAATCCACTGTCCCTCCCTTCAGGTACTCCATACTGTCAGAATCAACGACAAGTGAAACTCCATCCTGTTCAAAGACCCTAATTTGTAGAAGCAACCATAAAATTAATATTCAGACAGTAAAAATTAATATATTTTAAGATTCTTAATGTTAGACTAATCTTTTACTATTTAATTATGGGAAAACTGCAGTGTAGCGGTAATAGAACTGGTCTGGTAATCTTTAGGTGCAAGCTAATTCTCTGGGGACATGGGTTCAAATCCCTCCACAGCAGATGGTGAGGTTTTAATTCAAATCATATATCAGCAATTAAAAAGTAGTGCAATGGTGACCATGAAACCATCGTCAAAACCAATCTAGGGAGGAAATCTGCCGTTCTAACCTGGTCAGACCTATATAGGGCTTCAGGCCCTCAACAATGTGGCTGATTCTTAAAAAGCCCTCTGAAATGATCTAACAACCCACTCAGCTGTATCATTCCTGCTGGAATGGATTCAATCATGATCCATTCTGCTGCAGGTTTTACATATTTTAGAGTACATACTGTCTTTTTGGACAATTGTACAAAAATCCAGAGTGTATCACTGGTACAGTAATGTTGCTTTTAAATTACGCAATAGTCAGATAATGTTGTGTTGCAGCTTGGTGCTACAACAATGCTGTAAACTGAATTATCGTTTTTTGCATTTACGACGATTTAAGGCATTTAGTTTTGGAATGTCGACTTTACCAGCTATGAAGCGTGAGAGGAGTGCAAGACTGCTTACTTCTCTTTATTTGCCACAAAAGAATGATTCACAATTCTGGAACATATTTTAGCTGGACCAGGATTGGGGTTGGAATATATGAAAGCTGGGACTGGGGTCATTAGCAGCTTTCAAAAAATTGAGATAAAAAACATTCCAGATTGGAATCTAATGTTGGGAATTAAGGAGTAAAATTAGCTCAGCGAACTGATTTTAAGTCTTGCTGGCAATCTCTCACTAAACTTAATGAGACTTAATATTCTTTGGATGTTTGAAATTCAGAGCATGGTCAAATGTCGACTGAATTTCCACTGAATGATAGATCCGCAAGCTTCACACAAATGCAGTTTCCTTCTCAAAAGAATTCAAATAGGAATTGGTAAATTAACTTGCTGATTCTAAAATCACACTGATTGTAATTTCATAGGTGCTCCTTAGATGATAATTGTTAGTGTTCCCTCAAATATCCTATACAAGACTGATATTCAACTTATTTCAGAACTGGAAAGGAAAATTATTATTCATTTCACTATCAGGTGATAGAAAATAATACAAAAAGCTTGTATTCTACATAGTCGTTTTAACATAATGTAGTCTCAAGGCCCTTCACAAGTACATCTAACAATAAAAAAAACCCACTGGCACAAAGCCACATCAGGAGATATTAGGACAGATGACCAAATGCTTCATCAAAGAGGTAGGTTTCATGGAGCATCTTAAAAAGTGGAAAGAGAGGAAGAAAGGCAAAGTAAATTTGGGAGAGAATTCCAGAACTTAGACCTTCACTTGCTGGAGAGACAGTGTCAATACTACCACATTAAAATTTGGGATGCACTAGAGGACAGAGTTGAAGGAATATAGATATCTGGAAGGGTTGTGGTGCTGGAGAAGATTAAAAAATGTAGGGACGCAGAGGATTTTAAAATCAAAGCAGCCAGCGTCAGTCAAAGAGCACAGGGGGATAGGAAAATGGGTCTAGCTGCAAATTAAGCCATGGTAATTGTTGAGCAAGAACAGTTCTTGTTGATTTCAAATTCATGGAGGGCGAAATTATCGGATGTCAGACAATCAATTTGATCATTTAGAGACAGTGGACAAGGCAAGAGAGGTAATGATGAGGAGGAGCTCAGTGTTATCAGCATATGTGGAAGCTGGATGAAGTCACTTCAAGTACAGATCTCAGGCTTAAGTAACCCCAGTAGTAATAGCGTTCAGGGAGAAAAAAAGCTGTAGGTATTTCTCAAGCTTATGAATATATAGGTAAGAATGGAACCAGGTTGATGCAGTGCTAGCAAGCTGGATGACTATACAGGAATGGTGTGTTTAACTGTGTTAAAGCCTACCGACAGATCAAGGAGGGATAATGCCCACCTTATTCAGGAAAGTATTAATGTAGATAGCGAAACGAAATTACCAGGCTAGCAGGGTGGCTTATTAGAACATTCACAAGAATGGAAGGGCAGGTCACAAACAAACATCTCCCCTCTGTGCAATGCCTCCCATTGGAAAGTTTGTAACTAAATTAAAAGAATGAACAAACCCAAACAATGTTTGTGGGTCATTGGTTATTCTGGAGTTACCATTTGTATGTGTGACAGTTCTATGGAACAAAACTATAAAACACCAGTAAACACAACTGAAGTTTTTTTTTCTATACCTGTCATCTGGGTCTATTGTTTTATCCACAGTGAATTTGTATTGGAATCCTGAGCAGCCTCCTCCTTCGACTTGTACCCTCAGGACCTCACCTTTTTCCAAAATCTGTCGTAGGCGCTGTAACACATTTTTAAAGGGGACTTCAAGTAGTAATAATTTATAAACTTCATAAAGTTACTATAAGATACATTGAAATCATGAAATATCTTGCTAATTGATATGGAATACATCACATTATGTTGTGGGAATTTGCTCGTGCTGTGGTTTAGATCATTACTTGGAACCAAGGCTAAAATCCAGAGCAGACCGGTTGAAATAACATCATGATGCTATGAGTTTGTGCGGGTTGCAAACAAGTTACTAAGTATCAAGCACAGCAGAAAATTGCTCATATATCTGTACTAATTGGCAATGTCACACAGAGATACAACAAACAATATTATGACGATTCAGACTAACAATCCTCTCCTTACCAATCTGGAAGATTGATTTCCCACACAAGTCAAGCATGATAATGATCAAGTTACTGGAATACTCCACATTTCCTTATCTTTCCAAGTCAAATTGTAATCAACACTGGTTACTACTAATGAAACAAAATCAAACAAAGATGTTTTGACCAGAATTAGAACTATCTGATTTTGACCTTGAAATATGAAGACAAAACTTTTTTTTGTCTGAATCAAGTGTCTCAACCAGATCTCACCATTTTACTATCTTTACCTTAACACAGCTATCACTGAGGAACACAGTGTCCTGAGGTGCGGTAGTCTTTGATTCTTGACCAACTGAAAACCACCTTTCAGCTACTCGCAATCCCCGGGGGGATAAGATATGAATTTTGTCAGCCAATAACACAGAACGGCTCTGTAAAGAAACAGCCAAGCATGGCACCCTGTTAAAAATGTAAAAATAAAAGAAAAGATCAGTTGGCAGAAAAGTGTGCAAAATGAAACACCAATTTTTGGACATGGCTCAATAAGAATAAAAAAGGAATGCTATGACTACAACTACACTTCAAAAATATTTAGTTGATTGCAAGATGCCTCAGGATGTCCAGCCAACATGCAAAGAGGCCACTAAGTCAAACTCCATTATATTTCAGGCCAAATTCTTGTCAACACTGACAGTGGCACTCAGGGCAGTGCCAGAGCTACTGCTCTGGATTTGGGACACAATGTAAGGAAGTGAGGCGGGGGAAAAAAACACATTTCTTCATCTAACTGAAACATTACCGGATCTGAGATTCGTCATATCCACTGGACTTTGAAAGTGGTAATATTTCACCTGTGATCATCAACAAGCACTGAAAATCATAATTGAAATTTACACCATTTATACCATGTCATCGATTGTTTAAACACCAAAAACTGACAGCCCTAAGAAATGGCATAATGTTGAATTAACCTGCCAGTAATCACACCAGCAACTTGATAACTTTGCCTATCTGTACCTATTAACTTAGCTCCCTAACCATTAGGCTCAAAGTCACCTCATCAGCATTTCAGTTAAGGAATGGAATTGGGAGCTGCATAAGATCACTGGGTAAGGAGTTTATTCCATCTGAGAGTTAGACCTTGATACCTGTTATCTTATCAAGTCAGTTAGAGGTGAATAAGGAAAGATTTGTATGTAGTGCCTTTGCAAACACTTTGCAGACAGAATAAAAATATTTCCAAAAGTGCAGTCAAAATGTTTTGTAAGTAGCAATCAAGTTATATCCAGGTGCTAAACACAGTTCATCTGATTCGGTGCTGAGGTTTAAGATAAACTTGGCTTGCATAATAAAGAGAATTGCCCCACTCTTTATCAATTAGTGTGACCAAGTACTTTACAACCACATGAAGCAGATAGGAGCTCATCTGAAAGATAAAGTGGCTCTGTCTAATTACAATACTGAATTTCAAATTATGATGAAATGCAAATGTAAAAGACGAATGTAGGCTGGATGAACCAGTAATATGTGTGCAATAAATTTACAATCACTATTAAAAAGTTCCTTCACCATGACTTTTTCAGGATTAATTAATGATGAATTTTATTCCCTTGCAGCTACACTAAACAAAACTTCAAACTGAAACAAATCAACAGGTCCTCGTGCAAACCAATGGGTTCAGAAACAGAAAAGACTGGATGTAACATACTGATACTACACAGCAAGAGGGAGACAGTTTGCCCAGCTGAATCATTAGGATGCAAAAACAAACCTTAAAATTAAAAACTAATGGCTCTGTAGGAACAAAAATTACTTTTGTTCCCCTTTAACACAATGCAACCACTTAGTTGCTTTGGCTTTCACTATCAATACTGTTCAGAACATTCTGTTTTGGGTTTTCTAGTACACAGCAACATTTGAATTCTCAAAAAGTAAAGTGTAACTGTAAGTTGGAGGCATAGAGAATACATGACCTTCCAACCTACATCATTACAACAGATGATCTGTTGGTTATCTCGCTATTATATGTGGGAGCTTGTTGTATGCAAACTGCTTGTTTCATTTCCTATATTACACAACTGAAAAGAATATTCTATCAGTTTTCAAAGGTTTTGGAACATCGTAAGTTGGTGAAAGGCACTACAACAATTTCGTTTTTTTATCTTTTAATTTCTTTTTCCTTTCTACCCATTTCAAGTCTTTGGCCACCAAAAGTGAAAACTACGTAGCACTATAGGTTTGGATTTTGAAAGAAGTGTTTCGATTACACCGAATGTTGCTGCTTTAGTGGTTAATTAGTAGGTGTAAATTGATAACCCTAGACTAAAATTTCCCAAATAGTAATTAATCTGTATGTCATACATCTAAGATGTCTACTTTGAAGCACTCTCTCAACATTCAGAAAGTGCACCCAAGGTGAATCCTACCCACAAAACACAGAACAATGGTTGACTTTTTAAAATCATTTGTGAGATGTGACCTTTGTTGGGCCATTTTTATTGTCCACCCTGACTGCCCTTGGAAAGGTGGTACTGACAAAGTTTCTGGAACCATTGCATATCTATGTGGTATTGTTGTACACCCACAGTGCTGTTAGGATGGTCCATCTAGAAATAGGTATCCGTTTGGGTTTGTGACAAAATACAAATGCAAACACACCAGTTTTCTCTCCACTGTATCTTATTATCTGTGCCCTACAATAAGGCCACAGATATCTTTCTTCATTCAATTGCCATTTAGATAATATCTTTTCACATTTCACAATGCCATCTAACAGCTGCAAACCTATCATCGGTAGCTCTATCCTGATGAATTTCTTCAATTCTTACAAGCCTACTGCAAATGATTCTTTTCAACTCAAACAGAATTCCCACAATCTTGTCTCTACTCCAGTCCCCACGAGGGGCAATTAGTGCTGCTTTGCCAATGCTGGTCACATCCAAAAAGAAACAACTAAACTAGCTTATTTCCTCTTTACTGGTATAAATTTTCCTTTAACAACTTGTAAAGGCCCAAATCTTTCCAAGACTTGAGCACTGGAAATCAATTTTGTTACTCTCACATATTTCTAAAAAACAGTAAGACTTACATTTGTATGATGTCTTTCACAAACCCAGTCATTGAAGTACAATACATTTAAAATCATTTGTAATGAAGCAAACAGAGATAATATACCAGAAAAAGGAAGTCTCCTGATCCCACCACCCATTGACCAGTGCTGGCCAATTTTAAACAAAATATTATACAGTGTTTGAACACTTCTGTGCTTTATTTTTGCTATCTAATTTGAGTCCTGAAATCTAGTCTCTCCTTTGCCAACATTTTTTTAAAAGGTTCTTTTTGGGTGTACACAACATTAGCAAGGCAGCATCCGCAGCACATGCAGGGCTGCTGTGGCATTTAAGGCAGACTGGATACCAACAAGACATTAGCAAATCAAATGCATCCACAATACAAAACTTACTGAATTCAACTTCACAACTTACTGATAAGTTGGAATTTGAAGTCATGATCTTTGTACACAGTATAATTGCTAGACAATTGCAAATGCTGCTTTAAATTTTCCAAGAAATCAAAGCATTGAAACTGTTTATTTTCATGGTCATTTCTCAATATATAAGTGACTTTAAAACTCAAGTTTAGTACCTATTGGTTATCTCTTTTAGTTTACATGCCCTTTCTCCTATTCATTTTATCCTTCGTCATGTTCTATTCTCCAGGCAATTGTCCTTTACCTTGGCTTCTCAGATTTTAAAAATTGCTGACTAGTGAGAGATGGCAGAAATCCTGGAGTATTAAACATTAACCTTTAACTCAATGAACATTCACTCAAGTACAAAGTCGTGGTTAGCAGGTTCACAGTGCAATATCCCACAAATTTTCAAACTCAAAAAATGTTAAGAACACAAGAACTAGGAGCAGGAGTAGGCAATTCAGCCTTATGAGCCTGCTCCACCATTTAATGCGCTCATGGCTGATCTCATGTCAGCCTCAACTCAACTTTCCTGCCTACTCCTTATAATCAATTAACCTGTTAATGAAAAATCTGTCCATCTCCTCTTTAATTTTAGTGTCTCAGCATCCACCTCACTTCAGTGTAGGGAATTATGTAAATTCCCAACCCTTTGAGAGAGATGTAATTCCTTCTCATCTGTTTTAAATGTGCCACCTCTCAGCCTAAAACTCGATCCCTCATTCTGGATTGTTCCACAAGGGGAAATATCCACTCTATGTCTACTTTGTCAAGCTCCTTTAGCAATTTACGTACCTTGATTAGATCTGTTCTCATCATTCTAAACTCTAGTAAGTATATTGCTAAACTGCTCAACTTCGCCTAAGACAAGTCTTTCATGTCTGCAATTAATCCAGTAAATCATCCCTGAATTTTCTCCAATGCAATTACATCCTTTCTCTAGTATGGGAACCAAAACTGTACACTACTCCAGATGTGGTCTCACCAGTGCCTTGTACAACTGCAACAGCATTCCTCTACTTTAACACTCCATCCCTTTAGCAATAAATGCCAAAATTCCATTTGCCCTTCTTATTCCTGCTGTACCTGTATAGTAGCTTTCTGTTACTCATGTACAAAGACATCAAGATCCCTCTGTTCTGAAAGACTCTGAAGTTTCTCTCTATTTAAGTAACAAGTTGCCTTTTTGTTCTTCTGACCAAAGTGGAAAACCTCACACGTATATAAATTAAAATTCTTCTGCCAAGTATTGGCCTAGTCACTAACCTATCCATATCCATTCGTAAATTTTTTAGTTTTTCATTGCAATTTACTTTTCCACTATTTTAGTATCATTTATAAGGGGAGGCGATGGCCTAGTGGTATCACTGGACTGTTAATCCAGAGACCCAGATAATGTTCTGAGGACCCAGGTTCGAATCCCACCAGGACAGCTGGTGGAATTTGAATTCAATAAATATCTGGAATTAAGAATTTAATGATGACCGTGAATCCATTGTCGATTGTCAGAAAAACCTATCTGGTTCACTAATGTCCTTTAGGGAAGGAAACTGGCATCCTCACCTGGTCTGGCCTAAATGTGATTCCAGGCCTACAGCACTATGGCTGACTCTTAACTGCCCTCTGGGCAATTAGGGATGGGCAATAAATGCTGCCTGACCAGTGACACCCTCATCCTGTGAATGAGTAAAGAAAAATAAAATTTGCAAATTTGGCTACAGTACATTCTATCCCTGCATCCAAGTCACTATTCTCCATTGTAAGTAGTTGAACCGCGAGGACTCAACTATAGCACCCACTAGTTACTGCATGCAATCAGAAAAAGACCCATTTATTCTGACTCTCTCTTTTCTGTTGAATAGCCAATCCTCCATCCAAGCTAATAAATTCTTGTGGCACACTGGTAGTGTCTCTACTTTTTTACCAGGACACCTGAGTTCAAGTCACACCTGCTCCAGGAGGTGTGTCAGAACATCTCTAAGCAGGA